TTTTATTGATATCGAATTATTGTCCGGCCCTACTAGTATAAAATGAATGGGTACTAGTATCTATTTAATAAGTACTAGTACCTGATAATTAACTACTAGTATTTCAAAATATGCACTAGTCCCAGCTGGAATACACACTAACCAAAACTGAATGGTTGATATCTCAATAACAGATCCCCATAGAAATCAATGAAATTTAAAAATAATGTTTTACTAGCAACAACAGTTACAAGTCACTATTAAAATAAGCACTAGTATCTTATAAACAAGACTTGTATCTATTTAATAAGTACTAGTATCTTTGTGCACTTAAATCAGGTTGATTTTGTACATTAACATAATGGATGTCCATACAACAGTGGATATTAATGTGTATCCTGTCATATTTGCCATTCAATTTGTACGTACATTGTGAGCAATAGTGAGAGAGAGTGGCTCTGACACGCAAATGGGAACAGTGGGTGGGGAGAACTAGCTCTTTTGCATTAAAGACACGGGCAACAAAAACAGCTACAGTGTCTTAACAGCTCAAATTTCCCACATTCATAAAGATATAAATAATCTGATGGGTATTTTGAGCTGAAACTTTACAGATACTTTCAGGAGACACAAAAGACTTTAAAAAAAAAAAAAAAAAAAAAGACCCAATCTTGGTAAAAGGGGTAAAATAGCCCTTTAAAAGTAATGTTTGTAGTGTTAGTGTACTTTGCTTATAGAATGAAGCTAAAATAGCACCGATTAATCATGATTTATTGATAATTGATTTAAAGCGCAGTTTCTTACTTATTTCAGGCCTGATGGAGGAGACAAAAGAGAAAACTGGCTCACTAAAGGGAAAAGCTGAAACATGTTTGACCTGCACTCAGTGTGGAAAGAGTCTGGGCAGCAAACAGAGTCTCAGGAATCACATGATGATGCACACTGGAGAGAAACCGTTCACATGTGCTCAGTGCGGGACGAGTTTCAGACATGCGTCAGCCCTTAATCAGCATATGTTGATCCACACTGGAGTGAAACCGTTCAAATGTGCTCAGTGTGGGACGAATTTTAGATGTATGTCAGCCCTTAAACAGCACATGAAGATCCACACTGGAGAGAAACCGTTCACATGTGTTCAGTGCGGGAAGAGTTTTAGACAATCAGCAGCCCTTGGTGAACACATGAAGATTCACACTGGAGAGAAACCGTTCACATGTGTTCAGTGCAGAAAGAGTTTCAGACAGTTATCAGCCCATAATAAACACATGTTGATCCACACTGGAGAGAAACCGTTCAGATGTGCTCAGTGTGGGATGAGTTTCAGACAATCATCACACCTTAATCAACACATGTTGATCCACACTGGAGAGAAACCGCTCACATGTGTTCAGTGCGGGACGAGTTTTAGACAATTGTCAGCCCTTAATGACCACATGAAGATCCACACTGGTAAGAAACCGTTCACATGTGTGCAGTGCGGGACTAGTTTCATACAATCATCACACTTTAAAAAACACATGTTGATCCACACTGGAGAGAGAACACACGAATGTGATCAATGCAGCAAAACATTTTTGAGTGTTTCAGATCTGAAGGTCCATCTTAGAGTTCACACAAAGGAGAAACCTTATTCATGTTCATTGTGTGGGAAGAGATTTAAATATCAGCAAAGTATTAAAAAACATCAGAAGATCCACACTGGTGTGAGAGAGTATATGTGCTTTGAGTGTGAGAAGACTTTTATTACAGCTGGAGAACTGAAACTGCACCAGAGGATTCACACTGGAGAGAAACCGTACGTGTGTTCACACTGCGGCAAGACATTCAGTCAGTTAGGAACCCTGAAAAAACATCAGAGGATCCACACTGGAGAGAAACCTTAAAAAAAAAAACAAACACAATATCTCCTCAAACCCCCTCTAAAAAGAAACCCAAATGACTTAAAATCACAGAATGTCAAGAAAATAAATTGTTTATTAATGTTTAGAAATTTTGCATTAACGAGCAGTTGGACAGGTGTACCTAATAAAGTGGCCGGTGATAAAATATGTTAACATTATTAAAGTGTGAAGAAGACATTATATGTACTGAATGCTAAGATGGAATAAAATGTGTCAATTACAGCATTTCCTGCTTGCGCTTTTGTCATATCAGAGTGATACAAACACAACAAGTGTCTTTTTTAATATTTCCTGACGTAAAAATATTATTCATTCTATGAATGATATTTTTTATGAGTCATATGACTCATATTATTGTTAGATTAAGAATTAGCAAATATTACTTTTTTGAAATTATATTACTAAGGAAAATTTCCGAATGTGTGAAAATACTTTACCTCAGTGAGGAGAAATCAAACACAGCCAATTCAAAATACGCCACTTCAGAGCTAGTATTTGAAGGATTCCCTTGCATAATGTGGAGTATTATTATGACTTAGTGATGACAAAACAGCTCACACATCAAGATTTATAAAGCTGAATAAACAGTCCTTCATTTCTCTGCCGCATCCGTGTATTCACTTACGTTATATTAAGCCTATAAAAGCTTAACCAAAGCAAACACTAACCAGATTACATTACAGACATCAATATAAAAGAGAGAATTCGCCTTAGATGTGGCTTTAACTCACCTGTTCTGTAGTGATTTGTTGTTTTCATGTCCGTTGACGGAAGTCGTTCGCTTAAAGACAAAGGCGCGTCTCAAATCACATAATTATGAACTATTCTGCGACATTTTTTTTATATAAATTATCTCTAGTTCATTCACACCGAAAAATAAAGCACTAACATGATTAAGAGCACTTTAAATAGCCGAATAACACTTATTTATTCAACCGTTAAATAATAAGGGTGTAATTTTGAATACTTCATTCACTTAACGGTCAGTTTTGCTCACGTCACGTCGAAGGGGCGGAGCTATCAGACGCTGATGTTGGATTACTTCATTATTTTATTGTGAACGCAAAATTCCCCCACATAAGGGATTATGGTGCCTCCCGAAAGTAAATGCGGGTGTACTCATGAAAAGGGTGGAAAAAACGAAGACTATAAAAATGAAAGAACACTTAAAGAGGAGATGCAAAGAGGATATCAGGATTTCACAATAAAAGGTTTATTAAAACGTGGTTTAGCTTCAGGGAGACAAATAAAGGTAATTATAAGATTCATTAAGAAAGGTGGATTATACATCAGAATTTAGGAAATCAGTCAGTCTCTTCACACTCCATCACAGTAGGGGGCGATATGCACCCCGGTTCGCAACTCGCCATAAAACCAAGAAGAAGAAGACGTTTAAAGTTTGCGTCTCGCGTATCCTCCGAATCTCCGATCTGCATCGCAAACTCCACACCAACGAAATTAATTTTTTAAAGCTTTAATCTTCCAAGTATGAAGAAACTGCCACAACAAGAGAAAGAGAGAAAAAGTCCCACTAAACTCGGGTATGTTGTCTTGCGTTATGCTGCTTTTTCAGAAAGGTGTTTATAGTATTGGTGCTTCTTAATAGTGTGGAGCTGAGTGAGATTTGCCAGTATTTTATATAAAATCCTTTATTTCTTTGCTTTCTTTCTTTTCTCTGTTTTATGTTAGATTAGTCAGTAAATCCTCCTATATAATCACGCTGATTGTCTTTGTTTTGCCTCACAGAAAAGGTGACTAGAAGCGCGTTCCCGCCACTGATTAAATAATAAATAAATACAATGTCAAAAATATTGAGTCAGAAATGCGAGTTATAAAGTCAAAGAAAGTACAGGCTACATGAATATTTGCAATAGAAAAATAGTTCTTTGAGTATATTCAGAGTTCTGGTTGCTTTTCATCTTGAACGTCCTTTAAGGGTTCAATCTGTCCATTTATATTTGTGTATAATTACCCAATTAAATTAAAAAGGTTTAACATAAAATAGTTCTTATATATTTTATAAAGTCTATTTATATCGACTAATATTTTATATTATTTTTTATAACATATTTTCATTATTTAACAGATTTAATATAATAATCACAGTCCTTCTATTTCATCAGCTTTGCAATAAACAGGTAAATATGTTTGTGAATTTTATTTTGTAAGTTTGTGCGAGTGCTATATACCAGCATGCAGCGAGTGTGTGTGTGTGAGTGTTAATTAAGGTGTTTAAGCGAGGATCGAGTACATGTAAGAATCGAGTCGTACATGCATCAAGTTTATATGTATATGCATAAGTTTCATACATGTTTTGAACATTCAATAGTATAGGTGTACATGCGAGTAATTTATAGGTGTATATGCAAATGTTATATATGTGTTGATGAGCAAAGTTTGCATTTAAATCCTACATGGCGCCTCATAGCCATCTGGTTTGAAGCTGCAGAGCACTAAAATTATAAGTTTGCATTAGTCTTTCCTCTCTCAAATGTCACACCACGTACACCATCGCAAACGGGCTTACACTGAGTAAACTAATATTGCTACTCCTGAAAAGACCGGTATTGCTATTAACATGATGTATGCATATAATAAGGTACAGTATATGTCAAAAGCATCAGTGCAATATCAGACACCACCCGTGAGAACAGCACAGTTATATCGTTAACAGATTCACTCATGTCAAGCAGTGCGTGCAGGGCCGGTGAGCGGTCAGTGTATCTTTTGGTCACTCAGTTATGTTGAAAAAAAATATATTTTCTTGTGATCACAGGATTTCGTTGAGACATATTTTCCTCACGCTTACATATATATTTTCTTGCTTGTTAGTTTGATTAGTGTTGATTTCAAATGCAATAAATATTTTTGTATAAAACTTGTAGTGATGGTGCTTATAATTGGTGGGTGCGACTAAATTTTGGTTGATGCACCCATATTTTTAAGGGTAGGTGCACCGGTGCTACCAAGCAAAAAGGTTAATTTCGAGTCCTGTGATTTATTAATATTTGATGTAAAATGCAGTTACTTTCTTTTGTTTCAGGTCTAATGGAGGAGACAAAAGAGAAAACTGGCTCACTGAAG